GTCCTGACCACGCCCACCTCCCTCAAGGTCGACGGGATTGCCTCATGGGTGCACTACACCCATGTCCACCCCGCAGATCCACACGCTGTCCTAGAAGACTTTTTTCCAACATGGCAGGTGTCCAAAGACCAAGACAATCCTCTCAAACTCAAGCTGCGTCGTCGACGGTCATGATCGCGGTAACTGTACTTTTAACACCAATATTAGGAGGACAAAACCCACATGCTCCCCTAAATTTAACTTGGATGATCATTAGTACCTCCACGGGTGACATTATTAACAGCTCATCCAAAGTGGGCCCGCCACTGACCTGGTGGCCTGCCCTAGAATTTGATCTTTGTCGGCTGGCCACTGGCAGTTGGGATATCGGACACTGGAGCCTAGAGTCACAGGGAAGGCCAGAATGTGGAGAAACAAAAAAGGGGTGTACCCTCCCCCCGGTCGATTCACAAAAACCGGGTTGCAACCATGTGATTCGCAGGGCAGTATTACAGGATACCCCCTTCTACGTCTGTCCGGGGGGGGGGGCGTACTAGGAGTCAAATTGTAACTTGTGGGGGTGCAGAACAGTTCTTTTGTAAAAATTGGGGTTGTGAGTCAACGGGGGCCATAACTTGGAAACCCCCCATTACAACTGATTTCATTTCAGTAAACAGGATTCCACAACAGAAGTTGGCACACAACCCTCTCTATGGCCGCTGTACCCAATTTCTGTGTAACCCCATCCGTATTTTTACGGACCCAGGCAAACAGTTCACAAATTGGGAGGCAGGCCGCAGTTGGGGGTTACGATTATATGAAAATGGATATGATAATGGGTTACTTTTTACTATAAAACTAAAAATGGAACCGCTTGCCATAGGGCCTCCCCAGCTGATAGGGCCAAATCTGGTGCTAGCCCCTCTCAGACCTACTAAGTCCCCTCCCCCAAAAAGCTCGCCTGTGCCACCCGAAATAAATACCTCTATACAGACACCAAACCTAACCTCCACTTCTACAATGACCACCCAGACAGAAAAAGTTGACCGTAGCCAAGACCCAGACCCCTTTTGGGGACTGATGGTCCACACCTTTAAGGCCCTAAATGCATCTAGGCCAGACCTAACTCAGTCTTGCTAGTTATGCTATGATATCAAACCCCCTTATTATGAGGCAATAGCTTACCTAGACAATTTCACTAAATCAGACAGTCCGACCCAATGCAGATGGCAACAAAAAGGGACGGCTAGGCTGACCCTGCAGTCAGTAACTGGACAAAGAACTTGCATTGGCAGTGTCCCGGCCTCTCACCAACACCTTTGTAACAAAACTGTTCTTCGGCCTAGACCAAAATATCTCATTCCCCCTTTTGATAGATGGTGGGCCTGCTCCACTGGACTCACCCCCTGTGTACATGGACAGGTGCTAAAACAGACTGAAGATTTCTGTGTACTAGTACAATTGGTCCCCCGGCTATTATATCACTCAGAAGAAGACATCCTCAGTTGCTTGACTGAGACCCAAGTCAGAGTTAGACGAGAGCCTGTAACGGCCATTACTCTGACCGTTCTCCTAGGTTTGGGACTAGCCGGGGCAGGAACGGGGATTTCATCACTAGTGCTACACAATAAACATTACAATGATTTAAGAACAGCCATAGATATAGATATTGAAAGACTAGAGAGTTCCATCTCCCACCTCCAAGAGTCTCTAACTTCCCTGGCAGAGGTAGTCCTCCAAAACCGAAGAGGGCTAGATTTAATTTTTCTTCAACAGGGAGGACTCTGTGTCGCCTTAGGTGAGGAATGTTGTTTCTATGTAGATCATTCAGGGGTAGTCAAAGAATCTATGGCCAAAGTTAGAGAGGGCATCGCCAAACGCAAACGAGAAAGAAAACAATCCCAAAACTGGTTCAAATCCTGGTTTAATTCATCCCCTTGGCTAACTACCCTAATCTCTACCCTGCTAGGCCCCTTGCTTATCCTGTTACTACTGTTAACCTTTGGACCTTGTATACTTAATAGATTGGTTTCATTCATCAAAGAACGACTTAACGCTGTTCAATTGATGGTACTCAGGTCTCGATACCAGCCAATTCCTACCGACCTGATAGAATTAACCCCCAGAGGCCCATGATTGGTCCTCTATAGCATCATGAGAAGGGGGGAATGTGGGACCAGAATGACTCCATTTTGGAGCAGTCTCCTTTGTTCTCTCAAATTTGTGCTCGAACTGGGGCAAAGGACATAATCCACAACTCAAGATTCCTAAGTTTATTACTCAGCCATCTGTTTGCCCTAGAAACAAATGTCCTGGGCCCACTATCTATAGGACAATCTGTTAACATGCTGACTGTCCACACAGGGTGGTCGTGACCATTAGTCAGGATGTCTGCTGACCATCAGTACGTGACAATAGACCACTAACCCTTGTCCCCATTCTTCTTGTAAAAACCTATACGTAATCCCCTTCAACTCCCAATGAGCCTAGCCAATCAAAATTCTACACTTCATACTTGCTAAATGTTAACCAATCATATGGCTGCTAATGACCAAAGCTTGTTGTATTCTCAATAAAAACCCTGCTAATTTGGAACTCGGGGCTCTCAATCTAAATCCGCTGTGTCGGTGACAATTGAGAGTCCCTGCTTGAGCTTGAATAAACGACCCTCGTGTGCTTACATCGGAAACGACCTCCTGGTGGTCTTTGGGACTTCACAATCTGGGCACAACAGTTAAAGGTTTGTAAAGGGAGTTACTTTATATTTACTGACACAGACTTCCAAATGTCTTGTACCAGGACACTTGATAGAAAATTGGGATCACTTTAACCTTCCGGGGTGTTAGTGGCAGCATCTTCCTTAGGCCTAGAAACTTTGTAAGCACTCCACACTTTAGAGGGCCCCTGCTGTGGTCTCTCTCTTGCTGTCCCCTTCCTTATGGGATAGGGAGTTTATGGGGTCAAGAGGGCATGTCCTCTGGAGCTCGTGCCCCTGTCTTCCACTCCAGATCACCAGGATCTTGGGCTACAAACTTTCCTGACCCAGTCCATCCTCCCAAGAGTTAACAGGGCTGCCAGTATACATCTCTATGCCAAAGTTTTGGCCAGAAATGGCTGTTGGCTGGAAATGGGGTTGATAGAAAGATGGAGCCACCGGCCAGTAGAAGAGAGCAGGAAGGGGAGCTGAGGACAAGGGCAACATTTGGTTCTTCTCATACCATCATGTCCCAGTGCAGAACTCAAAGTGGTTCAAGGAGTTTAAATGACCCTAGTTTTCCAGATTACAAAGGTGTGTTGACAAAGGAGAGTGGAACATATCAGTTTATTTGCTTGAATTAAATTACTTAGATTAATGGAATATAGACTTACATTTATAGTTTATCCCTAGGCCCTACAAATATTAAGGGGAGGCTTGGCCATGAGGGCAACAAGTAGCATAATGTTAAAAAAAAAAAAAAAAAAAAAAAAAAAACGCTGGGGCCGGGGATTTAGCTCAATGGTGCCTGCCTGCAAGGTCCCAAGTTCGATCCCCAGTCCCAAAAAAAACAACAACAACAACAACAAAAAATGTTAGTTCCATACTTGTAGGGAACAGGGGAAGGGGATGTTACCAGAACCCCTCCAGTAAGTCCTAGTCTCCTGCGAGCCACGGCAGCACACGGTGAATTACAGGAAAGGCAGAAAAATGAGACTGAGAAGAAGCTGAACTTTGGGTCTGATCAGTGCTGCTCTGGGCAGCAAAGACAAAGACCCCTAATTTGCAGCAACGTTTATTCAGTACATCGGGAGAAACAAATGTAACAAATGAATATGTAGATTTCAGTACTTCACATTGAGATAAACAAGGTGTAACAAAAGACAGGGCGGAGGAAATCTAAGAACAATGAGGAACTATGCAAAAGAAGATTTGGTCCCTCCCAGGAACTATGCAGATGAAGATTTGGTTCCTCCCAGGGTGTCTCCTGTAGGTGTGGTCTTGCCCTGGAGCATCACAGGATCACTAAGGTCTCAGTTGTGACCAGAGGCCAAAATGGAATTATGTCTCGGAATGCCTGTAGGCAGAAAGAACTAGGCCTAATCAAATGATTTTTCCCTAGAATTAGGTAGCATTGCTCCCAGTATGTACTGTCTGTCACCATCCACACCTCTGCCCCTGCTGTTCCTTTAGTCTCCACATCTCTGCATTGTCATTCAAGGACTAGTTCCTGTGTTATTAACTCCTCCCTCCCTCCCCATTTCCCAATTCAGCTGAAATCAATCTCTCCCTCTTATGAACTTCCAAGTAACTTCTTCTTAACCTTTTTTACAGCAGAGTTATTTATAGTCATTTGGATTCACTTCATTTCTCCTCTAGTTACTAGCCAATATGTTCCTGAACGACAGGATTCATTTCTGACCTACCCTTGTTTTCTGCCCTGCCCTCCATATACAGGTGCTCAGTAAATATATACTGAGTATCACTAATCAAAGAAAAGGTGGATTTCTAAGTAACTAGACAATGCAATGAAACTCATTCATTCATTGTTTACACACATACCTCTTTTGAAAATCACAAAATAAAACTCCATAATTATGTCTGAAGAATGAAAATTGAATTTGAGTGACTTAATAACCTGCACCTGAAAGTTGTAAAAGACATCATATGGTTTCATTTCAGGCAGGGAAGGAAAAACAGAAGGCACATAGTTTTGGATAAAGGACGCTAAGAGCACCTCAGCACCAACTGTATCTCTAATAAAATTTTTACCTAAAGCAGAGCATCCAGGGACATTTATCCAATATAAATTATCAGAGCCTTTTAGAAAAGACCTTACCATTTCTTTGATAAAATATTGTAAGTAATTCTAAATATGGCTCCAGTTAACAGCCACTGTGCTCAGCTTTAATATTAGTAATTAATGAAGGGAGAAAGTCTGACTTCAGCCTGTACTTTCCTTTGCACCCTTCCTGCTGAGACAGTGAATTGCCCCCTACTCTATTAGATGACATTAATAGAAATAATATTTATGTTTATATTCTAGTTTCCTAAATGTGCTGAGAAAAATAAGCCAGTGTTCTACCCAAAGCCACCTAAAACCTTTGCTCCTAACACTTCTTTAAACTCATGGGATGCTCTTAACTCTGCAAAAGAAGCCAACATACAAAGAAATCTTGAAAGGACATATTGGATCACTTCATACAATCATGATTTTACAGGTATGTGTTCACATTAATACAAGTAACAGTGGAAACAAAATCGATGTAACAAAGGACAAATGGTGTCACGAGCTTTCATCATCTAATATTTTCCCTGTGTCTCAGTCTAAGTACTAATTCAAATAAGGGGGATGGTAAATTTGCCTTAAATGGGTAGCTAGGAGGTAGAGTTCATTTTCATTTTATTAGTCCTATTACAAAGCTTTCCTATAAAAGATAATTTAATTAATCTTCATTTACCCTACCAAAATAATAAGACTTTTCCATTAAGGTCTGGGACCCATGAACCCCCTTGAACTGGATGATTACCATGAAAAGGAAGTAGCAGACTTAACACAACAGAGAGAATTTGACCCACTGCCTGTGAGTAATTCCAGTCAACTCTCAATTATCTATGGGGAGAGTACTCAAGTGTTGAGCTCCTTCTTGCTTTGCCCACTTTTTATTTATATCATGGGTATTGAAGGCCAATCTAGCAAAGAGGAAATCTAATTCATTTTAGAGTCTAATTCTGAACTAAATACTCATCTTCACTGTTTAAAACAACAGTTTCAGCCAGGGATTTAGCTCAGTGGTTCACCGCCTGCCTTGCAAGCGCAAGGTCCCGAGTTTGATCCCCGGTACCAAAAAAACCCAAACATTCTCTAAAAAAAACAGTTTCTTCACAGTGCAGTTTTTTAAACAGACTTTCTATTGTGCTACTGTTGCTAAAAATAACTTACAAAGAAATTGGTTTACAAAAGAATAGAGCTTAACTAATAATTTAATGAGATTCTTAATAAATTCTGGATCTTTGCATATTTGTATATCATGTACATTACTATTGCTTTTGAAAAGACAAAGACTTCTTCCCAATATTCACCATATGAGTTGGCTGAATTACAATCAAAAGCCAATAAATTCTATGCCTATATCAATAGAGACTTCTTAATTATGTGAAATGGCCTGAAAAAAATGATCAGTCCCTTTCATAACAGAAGGTATAAGCTGTTAGCTTAATTATGAAAATTAAATGAAATGACCTAATAGTATGCGTATATGTTGTTTTATGTGAGACCTAAATTTTATCCTCTACAACTATAAATTTTGAAAGCAAGTTAATATTTTCAAAAGATATAAATTATGAAAAAACACATAAAAGACAACTATAAATTTATTTTAATTTGAACTTTTTGAATGGAAACAGAGCTTTTGTATATAAGGGGAGAAGGAGTTGAGGTGAGGAGGGGATGGGAAAAAGGGAAGGGACGGGATATATCATGTATAGGTGCAAATTCCCTGTGATGAGTGTTAGCACTGTGTATATCTAAAATGTACTGATAAATGTTTTGCTTCAGAAAAAATATGAACTCTTTTGAGACTGAGCTGAATACATTGATTTTACATTAGCTTCAGCATCTCCTGTGGTGTCATATAAAATCGTAATGCCAGAAATGAGCCCATGAACTGTGCAGTATCATTCATTGAAGTGGTGTTTTGAATTTTCATTTCCAATGGGCATTCTCTGTTGGTAGGGGTTATACACTCTAACACTGTCAGGTGTGCTCAACAGCTGTCCAGATTTCCACCTGACCCTGTAGAGTCTAGCCCCTCAGCAAGCAGCTGTATCATTTTTACAAAGAGATGCTTATACAGTTATACAAAGGATGTTTGTCAAGTGTGATAAACACAAAATCATTATGCAAGCAAATTGACACATTTATTAATAACAAGATAAAATATACCTAAAAGTAGTTGAAAGTTTAAAAGTTTCAGTGAATCTTGCTGGTTTATGACTAAAACAAACCACAGACTCTGGGAGAAACTATTTTAATGGTGACAAAAATAGGTATAAAATTTTTTGTATATAATAAAATAAAGGTAGTAAAAATTACTCCTTGCTACTATTAAATGATACGATATTCTGACTGAAAACTGTTAAATGATATGATCTATTTTTTTAAGGGCAAATTTAACAAAGTATGTCAGAGAGCTTGAGTTTTTCTCTTTTTTTACAGTATATTTACTCAAACTTGATTAACTGGGAGTTATAACATTGTATTAGTGACTCAGTATAGAAATCCCCCCCCCCACTATAAACAGGTTAGATTCCAAAAGGATGATCCTAAATTTATTCTTTTTAAAGTCCAAGTTAGTTATTGTTTTCTCACCACATTCATTTGTATTATCTCTCCTATTAACTCCATCAGCAACATACATTTTGTTTTACTTTTTGTTTGTTTGTTGTTGTTTTGTTGTTTTGGTACTGGGGATCAAACTCAGGTCCTTGCGCTTGCACAGCAGGCGGCGAAACCACTGAGCTAAATCCCCGGTCCTGTTTTACTTTTTTCTTCAACATATTATTATAAGTTTTCAAACAGAAGAGTTTAATAAATTTAGAGTTAACACATATATGCTCACCACCTAGACTCTACCATTAATACATTATCATACTTGTTCTAGCATATAATTTATACATCTCTCCATCCCTCTAACCATCCATCAATATCTTATTTTTATGCATTTTACAGTAAATTGCAAACAGTAGCATAACTCACTAAATATATGGATTTGACATCCATATCATTAACCACAGTTCAATATTTTTTGCAGTTCTTTTTCTTTTAAGGTGAAATACACATTCATTGAAATTGCACAAATCTTAAATGTACATTCACTGAATTTTGACAAATACATATACCTTTGTAACCCAAATATCATAGTATACAATGTTGTCATCGTTCCAGAAAGTCCCTTCATGCCGTTCCCAGTCAGCCCCACCCTCTTCTTCCTGGCCCAGATATATATTAGTAACACTTTGAATGTAATTTTGCAGTTTCCAGAAATGATTGAGTTCATAATAGTTAGAAAACATTTCAAGTTAGGCATGGTGGTGCATGCCTATAATCCCAGCACTCAGAAGGCTGAAGCAGGAGGATTGCCATCAGTTTGAGGCCAGCCTGGGCTACATAGTGAGTTCGAAACCAGCCTGAACTGCATAGCAAGACCCTATCTCAATCAGTTTATCAACCAATCAATAAATAAAACAGTAAATTCAAAAAGAAGCACAGGCATAGTATTTGTAACTCATCTCAAAATAAACATGGATAAGGGCTGGAAGAGTATCTCAGTGGTAGAGTATATGCCTAGCATGCACGAAACTCTGAGTTCAATTCCCAGCACAAAAAGTAAATAAAAAGCATGGGCATAAAACCTCAGACTAGGGCTTCTCAAAGCATATCATGTCATTGGTCTTAGCAGCACCTGAGATGCTTGCCACTGCATGGTGGTGCACACCTGTGATCCCAGCACTTGGGAGGCTGAGGCACAAGGATCACCATGCATTTAAGGCCAGCCTGGGCAACATAGTGTGTTCAAAGCCAGCCTGAACTACATAGCAAAACCTTGTCTCAAAAACAAAAAAAAAGGAAAAAACTTAAAATGCAGATTCTTGAACTGAAGGAATAGCTCAATGGTACAGTGCATGCTTCACATACACAAGGCTTTGGATTCAATCCCCAGCACCAAAAAGAAAAAGAAAATGTGAGGCCTGAGTGACTCCATTTTAAAATTTGGCCCCATCTTAGAGTAAGGTGGCCTGGACATAAATTCTAGTTCCAAGAAAAACCACAAGATGTACTTTGGCCACCGGCCTGTGATAATGTTCAGCAGTTCCCTAGCAACAGCTAATCAGTAGCTGCCCCAATGTCCCAGATGCTCTTCTCGATGGCTTGCAACAGCTAATCAGTAGCTACCCCAATACCCCAGTATCCCAGATGTTCTTTTCGATGACTTGAGCAGCCGTTTGCAGTTCAGTGCACAAGGCACAGCCAATCAGGTTTAAACTTTCAAAACTTGCTAAATGCTAGCCAATCATGTGATTTGCGTGTGATTTGAAACCCCGCGCTTTTTGAGAACCCCCACACCTTGCTGTAACCTCTATAAAAACCCCTGGTGTTTTAGAGTCGGGACTCTCAATCTTGACCCGCTGCGTCCGTGTCGGATGAGAGTCCCTGCTCGAGCTTGAATAAATGACCCTCGTGTGTTTGCATCGGAATCGGCTCCTTGGTGGTCTTTGGGGACTTCGCGATTTGGGCACAACAAAAACACTGATTTCTGAGCCTCACAGCAGACCTTAATCAGTCTTAGAAAGTCAAGCTGAGGAATTTAACTCTCTCCCAGCTCTGAAGGTGATTCTGATACAGCCAGTGTTTAAGAACCTACAGCCAAGCATAGTGGTGCATGCTTGTAGCCCCAGCACTTGGGAGGCTGAGGCAGGAGGATTGCCCTGAGTTCGAGGCAAGCTAGCACTACCTAGTAAATTCAAGGCCAGCCTGAACTAATAGCAACCCTGCCTCAAAAAAAA